GCCTTCTTCCCAAGATCTGCACGAACTGATGGAGGGGTGAATGTAATGATGTCCTGACACAGTCAGTGACTAAACTGTGTAGTTTGTGTAACATGTACTCTGTTAAATAATGAGGCAGTAAACCAGTAATAGATTTATAGATAAAGTGATACCAATGAACCATCCTGCGTAAGGCCATTGAGGACAAGTCAACCAGAAAATATAGAGTACAGTGGTGTGTTAAAGGTTTACAGCCTGTTGTAAATCTTAATGCTCCATGATAGACAGAATCCAACAGATGAAGAGAGTGAGCAGAGGCATTCATGTAAATTATGTCACCGCAATCCAGGAGGGGTAAAGAGGTGGCAGCAACAAGACATTTCCTCGTGGTGAAAGAGAGACAGGATCTGTTTCTGAAAAGGTTTCTAAGTTAGTTTCTTTAATACATGGTCAATGTGTGGCTTAAAGGAAGGATTTTCTTCAATCACAATACCTAAGTATCTCTATGAGGCCACAGGGAAGCAGTTACAGTACTGTACAGTTTCCTAAAACCAGATTGGAAAGGAGATAAAAAGCTATTGTCATCCAGATAACTTTTAAACTATATTCTCATGTAAAGCTGTAAACCTGAAGAGCACGAGCCAAACAATTTCATTATGGATAAATGTGGATACACTGTTTATCTGTACATGACAATAAAATGTGAAATTTGAAACTTGAAAACTTGAAATTAATCATTAAAAAGTTTGTCATGAGCCTTAGCTGAGATACAGAGTTTGGAAATTGACCTGTAATCATTAACCATTGAAGAACCACCTTTCAGTAGGGGGAGAACAAAGACACACTTCCACATCTCTGGTAAAGTGTTCTGTTGTATAGAAAGATTAAAACTATAACACACTGGCTCAGTAATCAGATTCATGTGAGCTTTTAGTGAACATGAGAAAAGATCGACTCTGAATTAGACAAATTACACAAAATGAAATGAAAAGTCTTACATATCAAAAATAACAAAATATTATGAACACCAGCACATAAGACTTTACTATTACCGTTATTATGTCAGTTTGTACACATGAAATGAGCAAGAAAGCAAGCAAGTGGCTGAACTTTTGCACGGAGAGTAACTCAGCAGAAACCAAAACTCTGAATAAACCAGTATTACCGGTCAAACATATTTTTACTATCAAGATGTTTCTGCTGTTGTCATCCAAGTTCTTCCCTCCACTTTTCATAGAAAGTTCAGTGAGTTATGACTAACCACATATGTATGACCTGTTTGATTGATGGGCTCCTTTTTGACACAGTGAATGCTGACATGAGCTAATTTTCCTCCTGCTAATGGAGACCACTTTGCACAAACTACACTGTGAAAAATATTGTGTCGCACTGTCCTTATCTTCTCTATACGTATACATTCACAAACTGGGTGGAGAAACACAATAAATCATATTATTTACATATTTACAGCCTCTGCTTTGCTTTAACATTAGTGCAGTAATATTTCATGCCACAGATGAAGCTTTCTTCTGGAGAAATGTAGCATCCATAAAATCAATAAGTCATTATTGAGAAAAAAACAATCACTACATGATTATCCACAATGTGTCTGATAACTCTACAATACAAACTACCATGCTTATGTCTCCCAGTAAAACACAAGCTTTGTTTTCTTTTTTCAAGAAATCGTTAACAAGGAAAGACTTTACAACCTGTAGTTTAGTCCTTAGGTTGTCAAAACTGCTGTAAGGTGAGACTTTCTTTCTCACAGCTCCCGAGTCACATTCTCTCTTCACTAAAAGTTGTTGCAAAGAACGTATTTTCAGTTATATAGCTAGCTTAAACTTTATATTCCCCAGCACTGCATCCTCCAAGGAACAGATGCTGTGTTGTATTTGGGAAGATTTAAAGATAGGAAATGTCGTCACACTGTCTTGACGTTCTGATGACAAAGGCAAAAAAACTGTGCTCTGCATAAGCAGGGTCTCTCGCATCCCCTGGGGTGGATGAGGTTTGCCC